ACCTAAATGGAAAAATTACTACTACAAAACTTGCAGAAGAAAACATAAGAAAAACACTTTGAGATATTGGATTAGACAAAGATTTTATTAGCTACAACACCAAAAGTACAATTCATAAGATAAAAAATTGTTCTTCTAATTCATTGTTATGAGAATGCAAGCCACAGATTGGGAGAAAATATTTGCAAAACATTTATCTGACCGAGGATTTGATTCCAGAATATATAGGGAACTGCTAAAACTCAAGTAATAAGAAAACAAAGATCCCAATAAAAATGGGCAAAAGATTTGAGTAGATAACTTTACTAAAGAAGATTTTGCATGGCTAAAATTTTAAAAAGGAAAGGAAACACCTTACAAACTGATAATACTTATTGCCAATGAGGATGCAGAGTAACTTGACCAAACATACATTATTGGTGGGAATGCAAAAAGATCTAGCTACTTTGGAAAACAAGAATTTTCTCTGAAGTTAAATATATTACCATAGAACTCAGCCATCCTACTCCTCTGTATTTACTCAAGTCAAATGAAAACTTATGTTCACACGAAAACTTAAGCACATGTTTATAGGTGCTTTATTCATAATTGCCAAAACCAGGAAAGAACACAGAGGTCCTTCAACTGATAATGGATTTAAAACAACTACCAACTTTTGGTACACCTATATAGTGGAATGCTGCCCAGCAATAAAATGTAATGAATTACTCTTATAAATAACAACATGGGTGAGTCTCAAAGGCATTAAGCTGAGTGAAAGAAGCCAGGCACAAAAGACTACATATTAAATGATTCTGTTTATTTAACATTTCGGAAAAGGCAAAACTATAGGGACAGAGAACAGATGAGTGGTTGCCTGGGGACTAGAGTGGCAGGAGAGGTTCCCCACAGAGGGGATGGGCAGGTCTTATGTTGTGATGGAACTGTTCTCTCCCCTTATTTTTGTAGTGTTTATGCATTTGTCAAACTCACTGACCTGTACAGTAGAAAGGGTGGATTCTATTGTATGCATATTATACCTCAATTTTTAAAGAAGTTAAAAATATGAACTTTGACCCTTTCCTCACACCATATACAAAAATTATCTCAAAATGACTCATAAACTGAAACATAAAAGCTAAGACTTTAAAACTTATATAAGAGAACATGGGGAAATATATTAGTGACAGGACACTAAAAGCACTGACTATAAAAGAAAAATATAATTTGAGTTGATCAGAAATTAAAACCTCATTAGTCAAACTCAGTAGCAGAGAGTAGAATGATGATGGCCAGGGGAAGGAGGAAGTGGGGAGTTGTTCACAGATAGCAAAGTTTCGGTTATGCAGGATGAGTAAGTTCTGGAGGTCTGCTGGACACACAGTGCACAGAGTCAACAGCACTGTGCTGTACACCTTGTTAAGTGGGCAGGTCTCATTTAAGTGCTCTTACCACGGTAAAATCAATTAGTTAAGTAAAACTTTTTAATTTAAGGACACTAGAAAAAAGAAGAGAAGCCATCAGATTGGAAGAAAACATTCACAATACATATATCTGATAAAAAATGTGGATCCAGAATGTATTTAAAAAAAAGCGTTTTACAACCCAACCGACAGCTAACAACCCCCTATGTTTTTTTGTTTTTTTTGGTGAGGCGGATTGGCCCTGAGCTAAGATCTCTTGCCAATCTTCCTCTTTTTGCTTGAGGAAGATTGTTCCTGAGCTAACATCTGTGACACTCTTCCTGTCTTTTATGTCAATCATGGCTTGACATGCGGTGCTAAGACCTTGCCTGGGATCTGAACCTGTGAACCCCTGGCTGCCAAAGCAGAGGTTTGCGAACTTAACCACTACACCACTGGGCCTGCCCCCCAACTGTTTTTTTTCAGGGCAAACTTCACAGAGAAGTTAAACAGAGAACATAACAGAGAAGCTAAAAGAATAGCCTATAAGCGTATAAAAAGATGCTCATCATTTGTTATTAGGGAAATGCAAACTGAACTATGGTGCGATACCACTATACCTACCTAGAATGACTAAAATTAAGAAGATTGAAAAGATCAAGTGGTGACAGGATGTAATGGGAAAATAGAATGTAGATTCATTACTGATGGTAACGTAAAATGGTATACATATGTACCTTGTGACCAAGTAGTATTACTCCTAGATATTGAACTTACAGAAGTAAAAACGTATGTCCACAAAAGACTTGTATATAAATGTTCATAGCAGTTGTAGTCATAGTAGCTCTTAACTGGAAACAACCCAAATGTCCGTTAGTAGGTGAATGGATAAGCATATTGCGATGTATTCGTACAATTCAGTGAAAAGGAATGAACCACTCATGCATGCAACAGCGTGGATGTATCTCAGAAACGTTATGCTGAGCCAGCCCTGATGGCCTAGTGGTTAAAGTTTGGCAGGCTCTGCTTCAGCAGCCTGGGTTTGGTTCCCAGGTGTGGAACCACACCACTTGTCTGTCAGTAGCCATGCTGTGGCGGTGGCTTACATAGAAGAACTAGAAGGACCTACAACTAGAATATGCAACTATGTACTGGGGCTTTGGGGAGGAAAAAAAAAAAGAGGAAGATTGGCAACAGATGTTAGCTCAGGGCGAATCTTGCCCAGCAAAAACAGTACAAGACGAAAAAACATGCTGAATGAAAAAAGCCAGATACAAAAGAGTACAGACTGTACAGTTGCATTTATATGAAATTGTGGAATTAGGCAAGCCTAAGATTTAGTAACATTAGGCTTATGAGTGGTTGTCTGGGGCCAGGGAGAAGATGAAAAAGATAACTGCAGACGGGCATGAGAAACATTTTGTCGTGATGGAAATGTTCTGCTGGTTGGTTGGGATTGTGGTTATACTGGTGTATATGCATTTATCAAAAAGTGTGCACACATTGAACTTACACTTAAAATGAATGCACTTTATGTAAATTATACCTTAATAAAAGTGATTTTTAAAGTTAAAAAAAGATTTAAAAGTAATCCTAAAATTGAATCTTCAACAAACAAAATTCATCTCCTATATCTAATTAATAACATAGTCATACAAAGAATAATTAGTTACTTTTGAAACATTATTCTAACTGTATACCCTTAGTGAGATTTAATCTTGGGACAAAAAGCACTGTGAAGAAATACCCTTACTTAGTAGGTTTGTTTTTGGTAGAGGTTGTGTTATAGTATTTTTGGGTAGAGCTAATGAGTAAATATTGATGTAGTTGTGAGCTAGGATTCCGACCGTAGGAAAAGGGAAGATGAGGAATACTGCACTGGATTTGAATTAGAGTTGTCGGTAAGAACTCACGTTTTTAAAGACATGGATTTCCTAGCTTTGTCCACCGAAAAGGCCTAGTAGCAGTGACACCTCTGGCATTGAACATACCCAATACCCAGATCTTGGTTTCTAAATGCCTTTGCGCACTAAAAGGGCTCCTAGTAGAAATGGTTGATTTCGGGTCTGGTTCAGGGAAAATAATAAAGTGAGCCTGAAACATCCTGTGCTAGAAAGTAAGGATGTGTTTGAGCATCAAGGAGGACATATCAAAAGGAGACTGAAGGGACAAATGCTGTACTTAGAAAACCGCCATTTCCAATCTTCAGTGCAATAATTGAATTAAAGTCATGAGTGGATGATGTATAAAACCATTGGCTGTTGGGAACAAGATATTTACACTGTCTTAAAGTAACACCTCACAGTTGCATACCAATTTCAAAGGAGATAAAAGAACTGCATGGAGAGATTTGGCGGTATCGTAACCATTTCAAGTTTAGCATCATCGGTAATGAGACAAACTGACATTGTGTGTCCTTATGTGATGCAATAAGTACAAAACATCAGTTATGTACGTCTCATGAGGTAGCCATCAGATAAATCTAGAATTTGGGGTAGCCTACAATTCAACTGACTTGGATTCCTCAAAAAAAAAAAAAAAAGGTCTGTGTCATGAAATCAAAGGGGATCTGGGATTAGGGGCAGCGTGGAGGGACTGTTCTAAATTTAAAGAGACATAACCAAATGCAACTCCTGAAGTTTGATTGGATCCTACATAGAAAGAGCTTAAAAATTGCAAACATTTTGGCAACATTTGGCAGAAATGGAAATATGACCTCTATATTACATGCTATTATTAACTTAATGTTAAATTTCTTCAAATCTAATAATATTTGGTTGTATAGGAGAATGTCCTATTCCTAGGAGATAAACTGCAGTATTAATGATGCAGTGTCATGATGTCTGCAAGTTATTTTCAGGTGGTTTAGTACAAAAGAAAAAGTGTTTATATGTTGATGTATAGAAAGATAAAATGAATGTAAGAAGTGTTTATGTGTCTCTATAGGGAGTGATAAGTGTAACAAGATACTAACAATTAATTGAATCTGAAGTGACAAGTATATGGGTTATTGTACTATTTCAGTTTTTCCGTGGGTTTAAAATATTCAAAATAAAAATCAAGGGGAGAAAAAATACTAATTCTGAATTACTCTTGAAATATACAAGCTTGAAATTTCCCAGGTGAGTTATTGAGATAGTATTAATTATTAATTTATTTGAATTATCTGATATTCTATGGAATGTTAGAATTAGAGGGACCTTAGAGATTATTTTATCTAGTCCCTTATTCATACAGGTGAGAAAATTAGTCTGACAGTAATCAGGTCACTTACTGAAATCTCACTGTAAGCCAGTAGCAGAGCTTGGACAGTATATTCAGCTGTCCTGTTTTCCAGGCTATTTATTGCTCTTCCCACTGTACCGTGTTACCTCTCCCAGTAAAAGGACTTTGTTGGAGGTAAAGTTGAATTAAGGAAAAGGTATCATTTTTCTTCCTAGTATAGCTTCAATATATGTCTCCCATTTTGACAATATTGTCAGACTGTGTTTGATCTATTTATTGATCAGGAATTTAGTCAAAGACTTCTGCTACTTTTAATTATTGCTCTTCTAGAAATATTTTGACCATATCATTTGGACCGTGTGTTTTTGGTCACTTATTTTTATTATCTTCTAGTTTAAGCTATGAAGAAGGACATCCCTCACACTCTGAAGCAGATCTCCTTCAGAGACAGACTTTTGTAGCCTCTCATCAACTTCCTGGATATGCTACCACACCTCAGCCAACCGGTAAAAATTTTCTTGTAAAATATACCAAGAATCTGGGTACATTTGGTGAATAAGATGAAAAGTCAACCTTTACATGTTGGGTTATGAATGTGTGCTGACATAACAGTGCCATGGGAAATGTGTTAAAAGGAAAAGGAGATTAAATGCTTTGTCTTTTACTGATAGGGAATATCTATATAATTAATTAGTTGGGAGATCTTTTTTCATTCATCTTTGTAGATTTTAAGTTATAACTATGCTTGGTCAAATTAACATTTGTTTGCTATTTCAAAATAAAGCAATTTAGAGTTGCAGAACTTTTGGCTTCAGATTTCAGAGCTTCCTTTTTAAAATAGGATCAAGAATATAATTGAATGTTAACGTATATTTTTACTTTGGATTATATTTTATCTTCACATGTAGGTCTTTCAGGAATATTTGATGCTGGTGTGAACGGTGCCAGCACTAACACTAAGGAATCTTCGGTGATGAGTTTTCTTTCTGCTGTGGAGCCACGAGCTGCTCAGGCTGCTGCTTCAGGAACTGCTCTTGTACCACAGCTCAGGGCTCCATCCTGGCAGACAGGTGATTCTTTGTTTTCAGAATTTTTAAATCCTGTAAAAATACTGATAAAAATGTACTTTTTATGGCCTTGTCATTATGGTAGTGTGGCTGAGAGTGATGTTAATTGTTGATTTTCCAGTGAACTTTAAAACCTGGAATTTTTCACAGTTTTAAGGTGGACAAAATTCAGGAAGTTGTTACCAGCAGAAATTCGGTGAAAACTAACAAGTTGAAGAAGCTAGATAATTATTAAAGATAAGGCCTAGATGTAAAGTTTTTATCTGGCAATTTAAGTAGTTACTTGTCTACTTGAGAGAAATAAAGATTAAATTTTCTTTTTTTTTTCCATTTCAACTTTATTGAGGTATAATTGACATGTAAAATTGTAAGATATTTGAAGTGTACACTGTGGTGATTTGTTATACATTCACACTGTGCAAGAATTCTCCCCTCTAGTTAATTAATGCATCCATCACCTCACATGTTTATCTTTTTTGTTTTTTGAGTGAAAGATTAAATTTCCTTTATTAGTGATTTCGGACTGGGTAGGTGCTATAGTAAAAACAATCTTGGGACTGATCTCATCATTAGAGTTATGTAAAGTTATCCTTAACTGGACAGGTTAAATGAATATTTAATAAATATCATTAAAGTTGATATTATATTGTACTTGTTTATATATACTTTTCTAGTTTATTTTTATTTCATTTTTCAACTGTTTCTCCCTCAAAATTATTTGTATATATTTTTATTTTATGCAGGATGATAGGAAGCTTAGTTTTTTTTTAAGGTTTTGTTGTAAAGAATAAGAAGTAGCATATTTGAGACGACATTTTTAAGTGAAAGCTATAGGAAATAATATTTTATCATTCTGATGTAAATCCTATTACTAGAGCTTCTCAATATGCCTTAGTAACATTTTTTTCTGCTTCCAAGGAGAAAATTAATGTTTTAATGTGAAATAAAACAGAATATTAAACAACACAATAGCTTCATTTTTTGCTTCTTGGAATAATTTTCATTATGTATATTTAGTTAGACTTTCTATTCTAGTTTCCATGATTATTTTAAACATTAATTCTAAGTGTTATTTATTCTTTCAAGGGTAAGTAGATACTTTCTGTCCTTCTGGTAGGAATACATTTTTTTACATGTAATGGAAAGAAGTGAGAAAAGAATGTTTTTGAAAGGGCCAGAGAATCTTTTTTCCTCCATTTTTCTAAAATGAAAAAAAGTTTATTTAATGGAAGCTCACTAAAAAACATGTAAACAAGAAAAAGCTATATAAAGTGAAAAGTGATAGTTCCTAACTACAGTCTCACTCTTTAGAGAAGAGTTCATAGTTTGGTATTTATCCTTTGATATTTTTGTATATCAAAACGTGTATCCACCTAACCAGTGTTTATGGCAGCAGTATTATTAGGATACGCCATAATTATTGGATCAATCCCTTGTTGATGGACATTTTGGCTGTTTCTTATTATTATACACAATAATTATAATGAATACAGGCATACTTCAGAGATATTATGGGTTTGGTTCCAGACCACTGCATTAAAGTGAATATTGCAGTAAAGTGAGTCACATGAATTTTTTCCCAGTGCATATAAAAGTTATGTTTACACTATACCTCAGTCTGTTAAGTGTGTAATAATATTTTGTTTTAAAAAATGTACTTGCCTTAATTAAAAAATACTTTATTGCTAAAAAATGCTGACCGTCATCTGAGCCTTCAGTGAGTCATAATGTTTTTGCTAGTGGAGGGTCTTGTAAAAAATGCGTTATCAATGAGGTGCAGTAAAGCAAAGCGCAAGTAAACAAGGTATGCCTGAGTATCATGTACAGATATCTTTGTGTCCACTTATTTCCCTAAGATATATTTCTAGTAGTGGAACTTTTGGATTACAAGTTTGTACGGGTTTTTACTTTTGCTGTACGTGGCTGGAATGTTGTCCTGAAATGTTAACAATCTCTTCTTGAAAGTACTTTATTGATTTCTGATCAGCCTTTTATGATAAGCATGCTTCTATTCTTATTGGAAGTTGTTCATAGGAAGTCAAAACTTGAAATGCAAGACAGTTTTGAAATGTGCCTATTTTGATAAAAGAAACTTTGTAGTGTTAACCTTACAAATATTTTTAGATTTATCTTGTTAAATGTAAACAATTTAGTTTCAATTTTAATGTTATGAACATTTTAGTTTGTCCATTGGTATTTGGCCTTGAGGTTTCAGGGTAAATTAATCACCAGAGATTTTGCACATTTTTTTTCCCCCCAAAGATTGGCACCTGGGCTAACAACTGTTGCCAATGTTTTTTTTTTTAGCTCCTGCTTTTATCTCCCCAACCCCCCCACCATACACAGTTGTATATCTTAGCTGTACGTCCTTGTAGTTGTGGGATGTGGGATGCCGCCTCAACGTGGCCTGACGAGCAGTGCCATGTCTGCGCCCAGGATCCGAACCCTGGGCCGCCGCAGTGGAGTGCGCAAACTTAACCACTCGGCCACAGAGCCGGCCCCGATTTTGCACGTTTTTGCTGGTTTCTTCATTTTCAAATGGCCTTATCTAACTGTGTATAAACTCATATTCTTATAACAATTATACATATGAATTGCTGATACTTTTGTAACTTTGTTTTTGCTTTAAGCTAGCTAGCTGTTTTGAAATATAATTTTCAAAAGTTACATACAGAACTAATTTGTCAGGCTTTTCCGTGTTACAGAGATTCTGATGAGTTGAAGGTTATATAAGTTATCTAAGTCTCTAGTATGAAAACATATATGTAAGCATTTGCTGTAATTGCATAAACATCCTCATGTTTTCTCTTCATAGGTGTGCATTCCTCAGTGGCAGCTGAGCTCTTTGTTAGTGGACCTTTGCCAACCACTGGAACACTTCCACCCTCTGCCCTCTCTGCTTATCAGCATCCCACCGCCTTCAGCAATAGAAACTTTGCTACCACTTCACCTTTGGTGCTTCAGGATTCAACTTTTAACACTACGTCAAACGGAATTTTAAATCCTCATGACCCTTTGCTGCAAATCAAAACTTCCCAGGGAACTGTTCCAGGTGCTTTGGCATTTGAGCGCCTGGGAGGTTCTGCGTTAAGTAACAGCACACCACCTCAGTCTTCAACATACCGCTCAGCTCAAGAGTCTGCACCCCATCTTTTACAACCTCAGTTTAGTTTGTTGCCTTCAGCAGTTGGGGGAGCCCAGCAAACTCCTCAGGCCTACAGTTCAACTCTCTTTACTAGTTCTACTGCTTCCATTGAAAGAGCTCTTCTTCGAGAATGTAGTGTTATTAAACACCATCAGCGGCCTTCAGGTACCCAGTCTGTTCAGGCACAACTGACTGGTTCACAGCATCCTTTACATAGTTATCTGTCAGGTGCAGGTGTAGTTAATTTTCAGGAAACAAGCAGGCAGTCCTCTTTATCCTGTAGCCCAGTTGGAGATTCTTCTCAGGTGAGCAGTGGAGGATTGCAACAGAAGACCTCTCAGGTCTCAGTGGAACTTGCTCAGTCTTATTCATCTGCAATTCCGTCATCAGGATATCCTCCCTCTATTACAAAAGTGAAAGGCTGTTCTTCAAAACAACCACTAACATCAGCTAAGACCCCCAAACCTCAAAGTATAATTTCTCCTGTACAAACACTAAGCTATTCCAAACCTTTACATAACCAGAGTTCTGTTGTATCAGGCCAGGCACAGATCTATTCTACAGCACAGCTACCAAGCCTTTTATCAGTTAGTCAGTCCCAAAATTATGGCTTAGTACAGCCACATAATGTGCCATCGATTGTTCATTCACAGGTTTATAGATCCAGCAAAGTTGAGAAGTTGCCATCCTTATATAAAACCTTGGCCTTTTCTGGGTCATCTCAGACTATAAGTTCTGAAAATCAGACACTTAATTATTCTTCTAGCCAGCAAGAGGTGTTATCTTCAGTTACAAATGGGAATTACCCTGCTCAGACAAGAGATCTGTCTTCAGCTAGCCAGTCACAAAGTTATTCATCTGGTCACTCTCAGGGTTTATCACCAGTTAGCCAGACACAGGTTAGTTATTCATCTCAATCACAAGTTTTGTCAGTTGTTAGTCCTTCGGAAAGCTATGCTTCAGGGCAGTCCCTAACATTAACAGCCCCTTCTCTTTCCTATTCTTCCACCTCTCAGGCTCAGAATTTGCCTGATTCTAGCCCAACCCAGAATTATATTTCTGTGCATTCTTCCCAAAATGCTCAGACTCAAGAGTCATCATCTCCCCAGTCTCAAAAGTTTTTGCCTGCTGTCCAGTCATCATCTTTTGCATCCTCTACTCATTGTCGGACATTACAGAATAACATACCTTCCCCCGATCCAAAGTCTTACGCTGAAAGAAAACTTGACTCGAATGTGTACACGTCTTCAAAGCAAGATGATTTTCCAATGCAAGAGTTGCAGGTATTGCAGCCGCAAGTATCTCTTGAGTCATCAACCCAAAGCCTATCTGATGGGGAAATTGTTCAAGAATCAGCTTATAAGGTGTCAAAGGCAGAGGACAGATATTCTCAGAGTGTAATCAGAAGTAATTCTCGTCCTGAAGATCAGGTTGTTGGGATTGCCCTACAAGGGTCAAAAAAAGAAGAAAGCGTGGTTGGTTCAGTGACACAACTTAACCAACAAATTGGCCAAGTCAATAATGCAGCACCCCTTGATATTAAGAAGGCAACTAATTTAATGCAAACTCCACAAGTAAGGTTGAATAATAAAGACCTAAACCAGCAGCATTCTCTTATACATAAGGTACGTGAAACCAAGGTCCAGGAGCAACATGATCAAATAATTAATGCCTCATCTCAGATTCAAATTCCCAATCATGCTTTAGGGCATGGCCATCAGGCATCTCTTCCCAACACACAGATCCTTTTAGACTCTGCCTGTGATTTACAAATTCTTCAGCAGTCAATACTGCAGGCAAGTTTAGGACAAGTAAAGGCATCTTTACAACTACAGCGTGTTCAAAGTCCTCAACAAATAGTACATCCTTTCCTTCAAATGGATGGTCATATTATTCAGAGCAATACTGATCATTCTCAGCAGCAACTCCATCCTCAGAATTCTGACATTATGAAAATGGACCTCTCTGAGTCTTCAAAACCATTGCAACAGCATCTCACAACAAAGGGCCACTTTAGTGAAACAAGTCAACATGATTCAAAAAATCATTTTGTTTCTCTTGGCTCAATATGTTTCCCAGAGGCGATTCTTCTCAGTGATGAACGACATATTTTATCAAATGTAGATGATATTTTAGCAGCTACAGCAGCAGCTTGTGGGGTTACACCTTCTGATTTTACCAAGTCAACTTCAAATGAAACCATTCCGGCTGTTGAAGATGGTGATTCTAAATCTCATTTTCAGCCGTCGTTAGATGTCAGGCATGTGGCTTCAGATTTTAACTCCATAACAGCTACAGTAGGAAAGCCACAGAGTATAAATGATATTCCCTTAAATGGAAATCAAGTTATCATAAACCTTTCACCAGTACCTGCCCTTCAGTCCAAAATGACTCTTGATCAACCGCACATTGAAACACCTGGCCAAAATAAAGCATCTAAAGTAACTTCACCAGTGGTTGGACCAAGTCATGAAGTCCAGGAGCAAACTTCTGGCCCATTCAAGAAACAGCCTGCTACCAGTCATGAATCTGAAGAAGATAGTGAAGTTCTTGTTGATAGTACATTAAATAATAACAGAAAGCAAGAGTTTGTTTCTAGTAGCAGAAGTATAAGTGGAGAGAGTGCTACATCAGAGAGTGAATTCACCTTAGGGGGTGATGACAGTGGGGTGGCAGTGAACCCAGCGAGGAGTGCGCTTGCACTCTTGACCATGGCCCAACCTGGGGAGGCAGTCAGTGTCAAGATTGAAGACGAAAACCAAGATTTAATGCATTTTAACCTTCACAAGAAAAAAACTAAAGGAAAAGGGCAAACTAAAGAGGAAGACAACAATAACCAGAAACAGCTGAAAAGACCTGCCCAAGGCAAGCGCCAGAATCCAAGAGGGACAGATGCATATTTGCCATATGCTCCTCCTCCCTCGGAGAGCTGCCATGATGGTTATCAGCATCAAGAGAAAATGAGACAGAAGATCAAAGAAGTAGAGGAAAAACAACCAGAAGTCAAGACAGGATTTATTGCCTCTTTCTTAGATTTTCTGAAATCTGGTCCCAAGCAGCAGTTTTCCACTCTTGCTGTCCGAATGCCTAACAGGACTAGACGACCAGGGACCCAGATTGTCCGTACGTTTTGTCCCCCGCCACTTGCAAAGACTTCATCAGCAACACTGTTAACGTCTGAAACTGGGCGTAACAGTCCATCAGAAAAAGTTGAGAATGAACTTAAAAACTTAGAGCATTTATCTTCATTTTCTTCTGATGAAGAAGATCCTGGAGTATGCAGTCGTGATGTTTGTAAAAGCGCCTCTGCTGCCTTAGCTACTTTGGATACTGCTTCTGAGAAAAAGAAGAAAATGGGTGAGGTTTTAAAATTTAGATTCATAATTATGGCTTTCCACTGTTATTTTTCTGGCCATTGACTGTATTTTAAGCTTTTGTGTCTTGAAGCAGGTCTGCAAATAAATTTTCAGGATAAAATGCATGGGTAGGTATCCTAGGGACTTATTTTTTAAAATGTTCCTTGCCCCTAGGAAAGTTCTGGGTTTTAGGTTGAGTAGTTCTAGTTTTTCTTGGCTTTTTACCACATGCAACATATCTTACATAGTATGCTATCCTGACTTCTCTAATTTGAGACATCTTGAGGTGGCTTATGGATATGAGGCGTTGTATTGGGGGTCCTATTGTAGTATAAAATGGCATATTTTCTTGGTATGCTGATTTTACCTGGACATTAACATTTTGCTGTTAAATATGGTTATGTTGTCTGCAGCATGCACATTAGTATAATTAAGATAAAATTTAAAAATTTTGTGCTGGCTCCAGACTATATGCCCAAATCGTTGGGTGTGTGTTTCGCTTTGCTATGTAGTTAAGGGAACATTTATAGGAACTGTTTTAAGAAGCGCTGCTTGATGTAAACAATTGACAAATACAAAAGTTGCTATTTTAAGGAATATACTAAGGAAAAAATATTTATAACAATAAAATAGCTACCACCTCTGTGCCAGGAACTAGTGGCACGGTTGTGAGATATGCATTGTCATCTCTAGTCTACAGATGATATAAGTGAGTAAATGAATTACCCAAGTCCATGCAGCTGGTAAGGGACAGAGCTGCAGTCTGAGCTCGGTTTGTCTCGTTCTGGAGCCTGTATTCCTGCCTAGCTCTTTTGTGTAAATAGATTGGTGCTTGAAGAGTTAAACTTTGTTTTGTGATATATTTCTTAGCTTCTGTCTGGACTTGAGACTATCTTTAACTACTAAAGTGATATAGAAACAGTTGGTCTCCCATATAATCAATTAGCATAAATGTCTGCTAATACATTTCCAAAGAATTCTCCTTTTGTTATACAGGGAAATTAGCGTGATGATTTGAGACCTCTTTTCTTTGCTGCTGTAAGCGTTTAATGTTACAAACTTCTCTCTAAAGCCCTGCTTTAGCTGTATCCCACAAATTTTATTTTATTATTTATTATTTTCTTTCAGTTCAAAATTTTAAAAATTCCCTTTGGTGCTTCCTCTTTGATCCCATGAGTTATTTAGAATTATATTGTTTAATTTTTAAACATTTAGAGATTTTCCAGACATGTTTATTGATTTCTACTTTGTGTAATTTCATTTCTTTTAAATTTGTTAAGGTTAGCTTTATGGTCCAGAATATGGTTGATCTTGATGAATGTTCCGTTTGCACTTTAAAAGAATATGTATTCTGTTGTGTTCATTGTTGTATGAGTGTTAATTACTTCAAGCTGGTGTTTAGTGTTTCTCAGGTTTTCTATATCCTTGCCGATTATCTGTTTACTTGTTCTGTCAGTTACTGAGAAAGGAGGTCGGAAGTCTCTATTTGTGGTTTTGACTATTTCTCCTTTTATTTCTATAGGTTATTGCTTTATTTATTTTGAGCTCTGTTTTTAGGTGTGTATGCCTTTAGGATCATTAAGTCCTGGAGAATTGAACATTTTATCAGTATATACTGTCCTCCTTTATCCTTGGTAATAATCCTTATTCTGCAGTCTGCTTTGCTGGCAGCATAGCAACTCCTGGTTTCGTTTGATTAGTGTTTGCGTGGTACATCTTTTCCATCCTATCTGTGACAATTATATTTAATGTGGGTATTTCGTAGACAGTATATATTTCATTTTTGTCTTTTTAAACTCTAATCTCACATTCTCTGTCTTTTAGTTGGTATGTGTAGACCATTTACATTTAATATAATTATTGATATAATTATATCTTCCATTTTATTGTTTTCTGTTTTCCCCCTCTGTTTTGTTTCCTCTCTTATCTTTTTTCTAAAAAAATTAAGCATTTTTAGTATTCATTTTTAAATTTAACTCTGCTTTTTTTGGCTCTGCTTTTTTGTATTATGTTTTTAGTGCTTGACCTAGTTATTACAATCCACTTAGAGTTAATATTTTTATGGTTTCAAGCAAAATGTTAAAGCCTAAAAACCATACAGATTCTTTTACCCTTTTACTCTTAGGTTACGTATATTCTATATATTGCATCCACATATATTGGAAACTCTGATAGAGTAGCAATTTTTGCTTTCAATGGTCGTATGTATCTCAAATAACTTAAGAGGAGAAAAATAGTCTATTATATTTGGCCAGATATTTATAATTTCTGTTGCATTTTCTTTATTCCTGATGTTCCAGGTTTCTCTCTGGTATCATCTCCTTTCAGCCCAAAGAACTTTTCCTTTTTCAGACCTTTTCTTTTTCTTTGGTTTTCAGCAGTGTAATTATTTGTCTGGAATAAGGGTTATCCTGTTTGGAGTTCACTGAGATTCTTTAATCTGTAAAATGTATTTCTTTGACCAAATTTGAGAAGTTGGGAGGCATTATTTTTTCTGCACCAACCTCTTTCTGTCCTTATGGGCCTCCAATGACACGGATGTAAAACCTTTTGATATTGCTCCTGTTCATTTTCTCCATCTTTTTTTCCCCCCTCTGTTCTTCAGGTTATATAATTTCTGTTGGTCTGTCTTCAAGTTTATTGACATTTTGGCCTTCTCAATTCTGCTATTGAGCCCATCCAGTGAATTTTTTATTTCAGATATTTTTTGAGTTCTAAAATTTGTATTTGGTTCTTTTTTTCTAGTTTCTATTTCTCTGCTGGGAATTTGCATGTTTCCATTCATTTCAAAAGTATGTTCACCTTACCTCATTGAGTATGATTACAATAGCTGTTTTTCAAGTCTTTGATAATTCCAACATCTGAGTCATCTTGGAGTGGTATCTGTTGATTATCTTTTCCCTTTGAGAATTAGTCACATTTTTCTGTTTCTTTGTTTATTGAGCAGTTTCGGATTGTATCCTGGACATTTTGAGTACTATACTGTAAGACTGTGGGTTCTATTAAAATTCTCTGGAGCATACTGATTTGTTTTGTTTTAGCAGGCAGTCAGAGCATGAGTTCTGTCTCACCTTTGAGTTGTGATTCTAGTATTAGTTCAGTTTTCAGAGATTTTGCTCTATTGCTTTGGGTGTTTCTCAGGGGTTAGTCTGGAACTTGGGTGGTCGGTAGACTTTGTCATAGTTTAAATCTCAAAGGCTTTACTCTCCTAGTTTGGATCTACTCTGCATATGTGCACTTTAGGCATGAAACTGGGATTTGTGTGGGTTCATACACAAAATTAGAGGATACCATTCTCTACTTCGCCTCCCTGGGAATTTCCCCACACTAACCAGCTCCCAGAGTTTCCTTTCCTAGTCATTTAGTTAGAAAGTTGGAATTTTTCTTGTAGTTTTAGCTGCCCATGCTTTGACACAGTTCTGTACAACTAGGACTACCGTTGGGACATTGCAGTGAGAGAAGAGAAAGAAAGAACAGAGAATCCCCCTACACTTTATTCTCCCAGCTTTATTGAGATATAATTGATATAGAACATTCCTTACACTTGTCAAACCACAGGAGCCCAGTTTTTTTCGTTTTTTAAATTATAAGACCCATGGTTTTTTTTTTTTTCCTGGGAAAGAGTCACCCTGAGCTAACATCTATTGCCAATCTTTTTCTTTTGTGAGGAAGGATAGCCCAGAGGTAACATCCACCACCAATCCTCCTCTTTTTGCTGAGAAAGATTGGCCCTGAGCTAACATCTGTGCCCATCTTCCTCTATTTTATATATGGGACGCCTGCCACAATGTGGCTTGATAAGCGGTATGTAGGTCCATGCCTGGGATCTGAACTGGTAAACTCTGGGCTACCAAAGTGGAGTGTGCAAACTTAACTACTACACCACCAGGCTGACCCCTGTTGCCAATCTTCTTTTTTTTCCTCCCCAAAGCCCCAGTACACAGTTGTATAATCTAGTTGTAAGTCCTTCTAGTTCCTCTATGTGAGCTACCACCACAGCACGGCTGCTGACACATGAGTGGTGTGGTTCCATGCCTGGGAACTGATCCTGGGCCGCTGAAGCGGAGCGTGCAGAACTTTAACCACTAGGCCATCAGGGCTGGCTAGGGGCCCTGTTTTTTAGATTCCTCTTGAATACCAAAGTGACCAGTGTCCTGTCAGGGTTAAGATGTCTGGTTCATCACCACTGCATTGCATTGCCCTCTGAGCAGAGCCGGGAGAGAGGAGAAAAAAGAAATGGCAGTTGCCCCCACACTCTTACCTTGCATGGGGTTCCTTTCCCCACTTATCTGTCCAAAAGAACAGATTTTCTTGGAGTTTTTATTGTCTGTACCCTGTGTAGTTCTGCATAGGGGTCACCCTGTGCAGAACTCTGGTAAATGCCAGGTGGTAAGAGAGGAAAGAACTTGAGGAAACCTCCATGTATTGTTATTTGAGGTTGGGTTTCCCTCCCCAATCTGCCTGCTGTTACTGACTTTTCAGTCTTTAGGGAGTTGTGTGTTACATTTTGTCCGGAGTTTTTATTTGTAATAAGTGGGTGATAGTAGCCTCTAGTGGGCTTACTTCCTTTTGGTAGACACCAGAACCCTTTCGTGAATTTTTAAAAATTCATTTTCTTATCAATTACAGTCATTATTTCTGATGCTCAAATTGCCCTGTAATGGGCCAGTAGGAGCCCCTTCAATGTTTGGAGATTATGTTGAATTCACAAATTAATTTTAAGGGAGAATCGATATTTTTACAATATTGTCTTCTCATCCACTTATGGAAAATGTTTTTCTACGTATTCAGATTTTATTTGTCTTTTAGCATTATATCATTTTTTCCACATAGATATTATTTATTAGAGTTTTAGCAGTTTTTAAAATATGATTTTCCCCATGCTGTTTTCTAATTGGCTGCTGATGATGTATGGGAATGATTGATTTTCATATTTCCATCTTGTGTTTGGCATTTTGGTTGAATTTTTAACAGTTTTTCCACTTGATTCTCTTGCATTTT